ATAATTGGAAGATGTAAATTTTATCATTTAACTTCATATTTTCATGTATTTTTTCATTGGATAATAATGATACTGCTTTTGTCAAATATTCCACGGCCAATTTAAAACAGCACATTTTCATATATAATAATCCTATTCGCAAATCTAAATGTAAAGTATCTAAAATGAACTGTGCACTTGTTGACACTACTTTCTGATCTGTCGTCGTTGCTTCCAATGATAACAATGAAATATCCCTTTTCCAAAGATTATTTTCGTACATTCCAATCGTTTCCAACAATTTATTCTCTTTAGAAAATGAATATTTTTCATCGAATTTCAATGATTCTTTATAATAACTGATAGCCAAATCGCACTTATTCATTTCAGAATAACATTCGGCAATACAAAAGTTTAATTGTCCAATAATAAAATTCATTTCTTCCATATTATCAACATCATCTAGATGTAGTTCCTTTGTTATTAACGCTTTTATAAAATATCTGCATGCTTTATCATAAATTTTCTTTCTAAAATAACAACTTGCAATGGTAATATAAGATGTAGAAATCTGGTTATAATATTTTGATTTCTTATAAATCAAAAATTCTACGCCTTTTGTTAAATATTCAATAGATAAATCGTATTGTTTCGTGGAAAAATAAATATCACCAAGTAGAATATAAGTATCTGTATTACGTTTATCTTGAACAGAATACATTTCTTTATCTATTGCTAAAGCTTTTTCTGCGTGTTTAATTGCCATAGGATAATTTGATATTTGAAAATAAATTTTACTTAAAAATTGATGTAGATGATCAATCGATATTAATGGAAACATTTCATCTAATATTTCTAATGATTGTAAACAATGTTTAAGAGAAAATTCTAAATTATTTTGCAAAAAATAAATTCGTCCAATATCAAAATGATATTGAGCTATTAAGAAAAGTTCATTTGCATCAACATATTTAATTGCTTTTACATAATATTCCAATGCAAGATCAAATTGTTTTTTATTCATATAAATATCTCCGATTAATTCGATGATGAAAGTCAAAGTCGTATTTGAATCTGTAATAACTTTGATAATATCATTAGCTTGGAATGCATATTCAAGTGCTAAATCTAATTTACCAGTTTCGTTATAAACATAACTGAGAGAATATATACAAATGATTTTATATTTCGTCTCGACTATGGGACGATGCATTAAGGTTTCAAAATGTTCGACAGCTTTATCAGTACGACCGATATTCACTAAAAAAATGACCAAATTGTAAACTTGTCATCTCGCTACCCATTCCACAGATTCGTTTCAAAATTGTTCTTAATCTTTTAAAAAATTGATTATGACTTAAATATTCAACATCATCAACTGCTGTCAGTGACACAATCCATTTATCATTTTCCGGTAAAACATTTGTAACTTGAAATACTGCACCTAAATCAAATAGAGCTTCTTATACACTGGCAAGTCATGCTTTTCTAGTAGCCGAAACGTGAAATGGCTAGCAGTAGAAAAAATTTATTTGAACCCATATTCAACCGACTTTGTTTATTTATCTATTCTTCTTACAATGATCAATCAATGAAATGTATTTTTTTACGTTTAATTCGATTTTTACATTTTGGCAATTATTGTTTTTCTCCTACAGATTTCATTTGGCTAGGACAACGGATAAAATCATTGCGACAACTAAATGAATCTGACATTGAAATGACAAAAACAATAATTACATTAAATCAAGATCAAAATGTATTTTTGATATGGTTTGATAATAATATTGATATAAAAATACAAAATGAATTAAAGCATTTGCATGTTCATTTTCTGATATGTTCGACATTCGATGAATTGATGAACACAATTGATAAGATAGAAAATAATAATAAAATTATTCTCATTGTTTCCGGACAATATTCTCGTTATACATTACACTCATTACATAGCAACGATAAAATTGATTCATTTTATATATTTTGTATGTATAGAGATTTGTATGAAGATTTAATATATTCAAAATTAATTGGTATTTAC